ATAGCTTGACATAAGCATAAAACAATGCTGAAGCAAAATGCCAGCTAGATTCATAAATCATGCTATAATTCTGATCTGACATATGTCAGTTCGGAAGTGACATATATTCGGAATTGACATACAACAATACTATGAGCAAGTAAAATACGCTGAGGCAAAAGCAAAGTACGACAGTTTCAAATATACTGCACACAGCGACAGCTGTGCATCTCATTACCAACACGGCTGAGGTTACGATGAAGTAGACGATGCTTATGCCTGGTATAAGAAAGGCACCCAACTGAAACCAAATGGAGATGTAGTCGACAAGAACGTGATATATGGAAATGTAGGGAGTGATTGGACTAAGTATCATCCCGAATGGAAACCAACTACAACAAGAAAGAAAGACCCATGGTATGAGGAGAGAACCAAGAAGTGGAAAACCTGGTTCATAGATGTCCCAGAAGAAGATGAAATAGCCAGACAAGCTTTGGAAGCTTACAAAGAAAAACATCAGAAGAAGGAGGTGTATGAATTAGAAATTCCCTATGTCATCCAACGACATAAGAAGCGACAAGTCAAATGTGAAATTCAAGAATCACATTGTATCATTAATGACCAACAGATTGAATGGGAAGAAGTGAGGAAAATGCAGACAAAGTTTACCAAACGACCAGAGCGACACGAACGACCATATCATTATAAGGGACCAGCAACTAGATGTTGGGATCGTATACATCTAAACGGACCAGACGAGCATTGTGAGCATTGTGTTTGGATGGTGCAAGTGTGCCGAACGATAGCAGCCTTGCCAGATGAAAGACTAACCAAGCTCGAAGCTGAAGAAAAACTCAAGGCCAGAGTACGATTGTCCCCATGGCAAGAAATCAAGGCGCCATTCCCTACTAATTGGCAAGAATTGGGAGATATCAGTTTTCGACGATGGACCCCAAACTCTAAACCGCCAAGGCTCACCGATAAGGGATATGTACTCTATTCCAATGAAGACATGTTAGTCAAAGGATCTATGGCTATACCCACTGGCATTGACCTCCAAATACCACAAAATGCCACAGCAATGCTATGTCCCTATGATCCAGCGGCAACTTATGTAGTGAACTTAATGACCCTCAGCCCAGAGCAACAAGTGCAAGTACATGTGATCGCACCGTTCCCGACAGTCGTTAGAGCCCAGCAAGCAGTGGCTCTCCTCATTTTAATCCCACGACTTCATCCAGTTCTAGAAACAGTTGCTTTAGGGCAAAAAGTGCAAGAAAAACCATCACCTTTTCTTCAAGTGTTAGAACCAGAGCAGAAACTGGCTATGGACAAATTGCTAGAAGAATACGATGACATCTTTGCAGAAGATCTCACACAATTGGGACAAGCAACCATTATTCAGCACAGAATCGAAACCATACCTGGTCGCACGGCATTCTCCAAACGATACAAGCAGTCTTGGGAAAGCAAAGACTTCATCACAGCTGAAGTCGAAAGAATGCAAAAGGCAAACATCATTGAACAGCTAGACATCGACGTCAACGAAGATTCTCAATCAACACCATTCGCAGCACCAGTGGTAATAGTCGGAAAGAAAGATGGCAGTAAGAGATTTTGTGTGGATTATAGACAATTAAACGAGATCACAACGACGAACCCATATCCATTACCAATCATAGACGAGATATTCTCAAACATTGCCAAGAATGGACCTAGACCAAAATACTTCACGGCATTAGACTTGGCAAGTGGATATTGGCATGTTCCAGTTCACCCTGACCATATACACAAGACCACATTTACCTGTCATCTTGGACTTTATTCCTTCTTACGATTACCATTTGGATTAAAGAATGCACCAGCATCATTTCAATCAATGATGGACCTAATCTTTAGAGACCAAATTGACAAGCATCTAGCAGTATTCATCGATGACATAAATGTCTATTCCCAGACATTTGAAGAACACATGGATCACATCAGGCAGACCTTTGAGAAATGCAGAAAATATGGCCTCAGATTGAAGAAGAAGAAGTGCCATTTCGCATGCGAATGACTAGAATTTTTAGGACATGTAGTAAGTAGCAAAGGATTAATGGTAGACGACAGAAAAATAGAAGCAATTCAAGCATATGGAGCACCAAAGAATGTACAGCAAGTCAAACGATTCTTAGGCATGACTGGCTATTATGCCCGATTTGTAAATCGATACCAAGGACTAGCAATACCACTGACTAGATTAACTCGAAAGAAGCAACAGTTTGAATGGACCCCAGAAACGGAAAAGGCAATGCAAGCAATTAAAGATGCGTTAACAACCGCGCCAGTGTTGGCATATCCTAATAAGCTGCAACCTTTCATTCTCACGACCGATGCATCAGATACTGGCCTAGGAGCAGTATTATCACAGTTCGATCCAGAAGACAAAACAGAGTATGCAGTGGCTTACGCATCAAAAGCGATGAGTCCAGCAGAACGAAACTACAACACGACTCATAGAGAAGGATTAGCAGTAATATGGGCAGTAGAGAAATTCCAACGATACCTCAGAGGACGAAAATTAAGATCATTACAGACCATGCAGCATTGATTTCTATCATTAAGAATCTAGAACCACGAGGACGAGTAGGGCGATGGGCCATGAAACTTTCTGAATACGAGTTTACAATTGAGCATCGAAACGGCGAGGATAACAAATTCGCCGATGCTCTCTCCAGAGACCCTAGATTCGAATCAGAAGTTCAATAAGTGAAACCCACCATGGATCCAACAGCCTACGAAGAACTAAAGGTTAAGGCACTTACAGATAGAAATTTAAGGAACCTCCGAGGAAAACTGTTCATCAAAAACAACAATCAATGGAAGAAAATCATACAGAGTCCAGATCACGAAGAAATCATTCGATCTATCCACCAAGGAGTAGCTGCAGGACACCTAGGAAACAAGATCACCAGCAAGAAGATCAAAGAGCGATACTGGTGGCCTGGCATTGACAAAATGGTAGAAAAGTTCATTTCTACCTGTGATAATTGTCAGCAAGAAAAGAAGCCCGCAAAAGCAAAAGACATATATCCAATCATTGCTCAATGACCTTTTCAAATAATTGGAATCGATCATGTCGGACCTCTACATGAAACGAAGGAAGGATACCAGCATCTGATCGTAGCTCAAGATTACTTTACCAAATGGCCAATTGTCAGACCTACCAAAACGACGAACACAGAAGAAGCTTTGGATTTCCTATGGGAAAACATCTGCACTCAGTACGGTATCCCAGAACAAGTCATTACTGACCAAGGGACAGCCTATACCAGCGAAAAATGGAAGCGTACGGTGCAGAAATGGGGAATCAATCATACCCCTACCACTGCGGCAAATTCACAAGCAAACGGCCAAGTAGAACGATTTAATCAGACACTAGTGAAAATGCTGAGAAAGAAGTTAGGAGTCTGAAAAGACAAATGGGCAATGCATCTACCAGCAGTGTTAATGGATTATAGAGCATCAGTCCAGGCAACAACTGAATGTACTCCATCAGAATTACTCTATGGATATCGAATGAGGTTACCTATAGAAGCTACTCATCCAATCCCAATCGATGAATTATTAGACCAACCAATCGAACGAATGAAGCAACTAGAAGAACTGCATCACAAACATATCGAGAAAGCAGAGTTAATCAAACAAAAGCAAGAACGAGTTAAGCAACAACAAGAAGCCAAGAAGGGATTAGCCACCCCATTAAATATTGGTGACTTAGTACTACTATATGCTCCAGCGCACAAACGGAAATTAGAACAAGTCAATGAAGGACCATTTAGAATCAGAAAAGTAGGGAAGAGAAGAACATACGAAATCGAGACGATGGGAGGAGTTTATTATAAGAAAGTGTCAGGAAGAAGATTAATCAAGTACAACGACCGAAATCAGGCTCGAGTGGAAATCGGAGAGTCAAGCCGTCCCCTAATCTGAAGACATCAAGAACTCAGTGATGACCTGAATACCAGTTGGAAAGAGGTTATTCTAAGCAACGAATCAGCTTAGTAGGGTAGAAGATTGAGTTAGTTGACATTACATCATCAAATATCATCGATTATTTTAGTATTAGTATTATTATTATTAGCATATATCCAATCTATATTTAGCTGAGTCCCTTAGAGGATAGCTGGGGCTTAGCAACCCCCGTTCAACTTGTATTACAGAGTGTGAGGCACTTGCCACACTCATATTTTATGTCACCCGAAAAACGAAACAGATTTGGATATATCGGGTCGACAGATGCATACGAAACAGATTTCGATAAATCGGGAAAACAGCATGGACAATATTAAGGATAATTTCAGCCAGATGACCAAGCATGGAGAATACAAGGGAAACAACGAAAGACAACGTAATTCACCCGATTTGGACGAAATTGTTTCGAAATAATGTAATAAGTGATGAGTGTTTGGAAGACAGAGTAAATTGATTCAATATCTCTGTGGAAGTATTGGTTTATCAGCGTTTGATACAGAGTCATCAGTATATTACACTTTCCGGAAAAGGGTAACTGATGATGGATGGAGGCATATGAACATTCTACGATCGAACCATACCAAGACTAGAACCAGTAATATTGATGGCGAGCTAGTGTAACAGATGGGACACCAGAAGTTATAAAAGCCGCGCCTGCCTTATCCAATCTTCCATACTTCACAATACCTTTGGCATTGACAAGTAACCCTCAAGAAAACAAACAGACTCAACACTCAACTCAAACTCAACTCTTAATCAAGCAACATGAACAGCAACAATGGATCAGTTTTCAGCGACGAACTCTCAGTACACAGTGCAAATTCCTTCACCGAATTACGAACCAACATGTTCATCGATACCCACGACCTTCCTCAGTACCGAATGCAAATCACCCGCTACAACGATTTCAGAAACGCTAGCGACGACATCATCGACGCAATACCCTGTGTCTATCCCCCAAAGTACCATCGATATGTGGATGGAACTCAATACTTTCTGGTCAGGAGAAGAGACGACGGATATCTCATGGCCGTATTCGATAGACAGCATGTCCGAGACCGAATCTTCCAAGACCCTAAAGGATGGGAAGATTTTGGAATCTTTGTTAACATGGGAATCGACAAGTGGCAAGCAAGCGAACAAAATTGGGAGAACCAGGGAGGATTCTGGTTACATTACTTACCCTTCTTGGACCATTCCTCTTACACCCACGATCGGATCAACTACGGACTGGACTACCACATTTACAACCTGTCCAATGCACGAGGAACTGTCCTGTTCGAGTGCGATATCCAGGAGTGTATTGACTACTGGAGAAACGTCCGAATCGATCAGTGGAGTTACGACACCCAAGAACAGGTCCGAGCATTTTTACAATGCGCTCAGCAGCCCGAAGGATGGACCAATGTGTGGCAACGAAGACAGCCACCTCCACAGCCACAACCCCCTCAGCCTCAGCCACCTCGATCACCCAGTTACCAGCCCCCTTCCCCTGGAGGACATGTCGACACTACCATGGGAGATAATAGTGCCCCAGGAGGACCAAGAGATATACCCGACGATGCCTCCAGTACAAGCACCAGAGTGGGAGGACCTGACGATAATAACAACGATGAATCCGAACCTAGAGGATTCGACAGCGACATCGAAAGCATCATTGTCCATGAACGACCAGTCATCCACATCAACCAACTCGAATCAGTTTCGGTACCTGGAACTGATGGTGGAAGAAATGAAAGCGACGATGATGAATACGAATGGAGAGTTAGAGCTTACTCTCCCAACGGAAGTAGTGGAAGGAGAACAACGGCAACAACATCCAGCGACGGTCGACTCAGCAGTCCCTTCGTCCGAGAACTTACAAATGGAGGAATGCCAGTATGGAGCGACTATGACTTTGGATACAGAGGGAAGCATACGGAATACGAGTACACTGATGATGGAAGAGTACTCGTCTCAGAAGAAACTTGGGACCCCCAACCAGGACCATCTAAACAAACCATTAGGGATGTCGCCGGATATTACTCAGATGAGGAGTATGACCTCTACTCCTGAATCACTACCCCAGATATCTACGACATCTATGAGCAATGGGATTAGTGAAGGAATGAAAGTAGAAGGAAAGGAAGAGGAGTTAGTAAAAAGAAAGGAGAAGAAGAGGAGAAAGAACAATAATATAAATAGATGGGAAGAGTATAGAGGAAAAGATAAGGAGTGGGAAAAGAAAGTTAGGAGAACAGAAGCAGAGTTTGGTAGTATTAGAGGTTTAAAAAGAC